TCAAATTTATTCTATTTTATTAATAATATTTCTAATATTCTCTCACTGGAGCGAGGGGATTTAGATAATTAAATTGTCTATGCATAGAATATATTTTTTTGTTTTCTTTTCATTTGCATTTGGTAAGTCGATTAGGTCCAGCTGGAGCACTCCACCAACCATACAAATAGATCTTGCTCTCGTACCTCATGGTGATGCTATCTTCGTCCGTTGAATCGCTGTTCCGTATTTAAAGAGCGCGGGTCAAGTACCCGTGCTAAACATTCAGACATCATATCCGCGTACGATGACATTAAGTAATTATATATACGTAACTGTAGCTTCCTTAATCTTTCACGAAATATTCGCAAAAATCTTTACAAATCAAACAAAAGTATGATGCAGCATATATTTCTTACTATCTTCTGTTATTAATATTTTAATTCATATATTGTTGAATCAAATAGCTATTCTCGGTGACAACAGATAATCAAGTCACTTTGAATAAATGCTGTCTGCACTTTTGGCTTCGATATGTATGTGTTTCAATCCACAATCACTGAATGAAATAATCTGGAATTCCCAGTGGGTGGACCAGTTTCTCGTCCCCGAAGATCTGCATGACCGTCGTGTCCTTTCACGGTGGACGTATCACTCCTTCTTACGAGTTTTACGAAGAGCGGTGCGCGCTGCACTGTCATCCTTTTTTTCGTCGAAGTTTCCCTTTTTGGCCATTACTTTCACTTTCATACGTTACTTTGGAACTATTCCTTAAATAGACATCTAACTTTACGTTTTCGAAACATTGAAAGTTATTAATTCGGAAGTAAGACGTATAGTTCTTAGAAGAAAATTCATATTTTTATAATACTTTAGTTATTAATATTTTCAACATCCTTAGGTTATACCTAAAACCTGTTAAATTAAAATAGTGAAAGACTGTAAATAATGCACAAATAAAAAAAAAAAAGTAGCAAACAGACGATTTAATAACACAGAATGCATGTTGAGGTACGTTTCATATCATTTTATTTCCAAAGCTTTTATGCACATGTAACGATCAAAATCAACTGCGTAACAATACTGTTTCTGGTGATCATAAAGGAGATTTTTTTCCTCTCTTTTAATACACACCGTCGCGATACATTCGATTCTTCGCTTCCACGCGATCGTAGTTTCTCTCTCCGTCTCTTACTTGTTGCAATAATAAAGTAGTCAAGAATTAAATGGTTATTTGTCGTACATTATATAGAGAATATACCTATAGTTCGTTACACACGTAGTTTCTTCTTGTAATCAAACGGCGAGCCGCGTGAAAATCGCTCGTACAATAAATCGTCGTAATACTGCTCGAATTATATTTCGAGTAAAATGTACCGAGAGAGTGCGATCGTACTCTAGACGGAAACGCACGTTATTAACACCCACGAACATTCTCGACGAAAGAAGCCTAAGGATACGTTGCAGTGACGTTTACACAAGATATTAGTTCGAGTTGCGTTAGCGACAAAAATCACTGCATATCTCACTTTCTAACTTATATTACGGTCGACTATGTTGGCAATATAAGATTACTTCGAGGATCATCGAAATCGGATATCAGGAATTTTTGTCTCCCTAACGCCTGAATATCCCTCCCGTCTCTTAAATATTACAATTTTACATTAAGACTTTTGAATAGTGAACGAGACCGCGCGTAGTTTTACGGGACACGTGTACTTTACGTAATACGCAAATAGGAGAATTCCTAACTTTAGGAATATATATATGTATATATATATAATGTTCGAAAAAAAGCACGTCTTCTTTTCCCACATCCATATATCTATTTCTTCTACGCGTACGATATTCACTTTAGCTTTTGCGATGCAGAGAACACCTGAAACTTACGTTCACTCGGTTCTACTATGAAAATCGAACCTACATTTATCTCGCGATTTACGTGGATAAACAAATGTTGTCGTAAGACAATTAAAAATATTACTTTTTGCGAAATATGCGAAATAGATGATATTTTTCGAAACTTGATGAGACTTGATCATTTTATATAATTTGTGTCAGTGAAAATTTGAATCTATAAAAAATTCTGCACGCGTAAATCGAGATTCGTGTATTTGGAAAGACATATTGCTTCCTAAACTTTGTAAAGTAATAAAAAAACGATTGCCTAGAAAATTTATAAAAGTGTAATACAATAAATACTGAAGTACGTATACTCGTCAATGAGTGTCACGGACTTCTTGACTGCTCGTGAGAGAATTGTTGATCGTCGACGATGGTCGAGGAGACACGGAAAGATGTTTATTGTACAAGCTTTTTCAATGAGGACCGACTAGCTTCGATAGTAGTGATTACGGGAAGGAGTTACATGATTTACAAACATGTTAAATACCTGAGAAAAACGTGATCACGAGCGCTAGCGAGTCAAATCGCGCGCTACCCTATTATATCGTTCATATATTTTTTTTACAATGATACGACTGCCACTACGTTGTTTAATAATCGAGATGTCGGTATCTATATAAAAATCGCATATGCAAAAAGCTACGACGATGACAAAACGGGGCAAAAACGTACACGTATATATAAAAAAGTAAGAGTTCAAATGGATACATCGAACACTTTCTCTCGCTACGAATTATGTAATATCCAAATTGATATTCCACATACAGTCGCTTAGCGTATTTCAGAAACATCGCCTAAATATATAGGTATATATAGAAATCCATTGAGAATCGTATACAATCGCTCCGCTTATAATGCGCGAATAATTAGCGAATAGTCAATGACAAAAAGGTTTTGTAAACATTTCTATTGTGTCAACGATACAACGACTGCAGATTCGAAACTACAATTCTTGTATAATAGCGACAACAGTATGTTTAACCGAACATTTTTTTTACATAAGCTCAGCAGGAAATTTAGTAAGAATTTATTACTTATTCTACTTATATAATAAATTATTCAATTAAATTGAGGAATTTTCATTGTACGTAATCCTAAAAGTAGAGAATAATTCTTTTTATAGATCTCACGATTTTCTAAATATAATTTTTTGGACAATCGAATAAAACTATTTTTTTGTTATAAAACCAATGTTGTCTTTTTAAAAAGACGAGTGTTATTTTAATGTATCTTCTAAATATACATTTTTTTCTCCTAAAAGGTAAAAGCGAGTTTTACAGAGCATAACTGATTTTCGAACGATTCGTCTTCTACGTGTTGAAAACCATTTCTATCAATAACAATAACGAAATATGGCGATGGTTGAGATAATGAAATCGTATTGTGATGTCTTTCTCTTTTACTTTCTTGTTAATCTTTGCGTCGGTCACGTAATCTTCCAATCGCATTACACATAAATATTAATGGCGTTTATGCGAGCCAATAAATATTAAAACATAATATTTTATTTTCTAAAACACATTTTCGTTAGTCGACATTCGATTTTTAAGATCCTTTAAGATATTATGCTCTCCTGGTCAATCTACAGCCTTTTTGTTCATTTACGTAACTTCGACCACGATGAGTAAATGGAGTAATAAAAGTATGCATGTTCCAGTCGGAGGCAACGACCTACAGTATCCCGAAAATAATGTATGCCAGCAGCAGCATTCCATCCTCGAAAAAATTTTTAGCCGATTATTACTAAATAAATCGATTTTTACTGAATGAAAATTTTGATTATTTATAACCTTCATAATTTTAATTATATATTTAATGTAAAAATTACATTAAATTTGAGATAAAGTTTTTGTTAAAAAAATAAGGGGGGTATTTAACAAGAAATAAAATGTTGCTACTGATATACTTTTTTTTATTTTTAAAGAGCACTCGTGAAGCAATTTATTTATAACATTTATGTGATTAGAATTTTAATGAAAAGATTTTTTAATAACGCGTTATAACAGACGTTTCGAATACTAAGCATCAATACTTTTAATTTAATAAACGATGCTAATAAAATTTAGACATCAATAATAGATAGCGAAATTACGTGATACAATTTCCAATATTGGTTAATTATACATGCCGCGTTAATTATCGAATAATTACAACGTATAGATAATACGACATAATCGGAATATCGCATTATAATATTTACAATGATATGTGATAAGTGATGACAATACGCATAATGTGTATGCAGATCTTGTGTGAGCTTTCTCCGCGATATATCTCTATTTTTTATATGAAAATTTCTCTGTCTAGCACATGCGTATGAATAGAAAAAAAGAATAATAAATCGACGCGAATGGGTATAAGGTAAACAAATAAAAAATCAATTTACAAATAAATATAAAACATATATTTAAATTAAATGCCACAAAATATCTTGCTTTGCGATAAACCTGAAGTCAGAGTGTCCCTTTTTTTTAGTTCCTCCACGTGAAATTACAGTGCCAAAGAGAAATAGATTATTCGTCGTTCTATAAGGGTAATATTTCAGTATGATAAAGAAATATATAATACCGGTATATCGGAGATTAAGTAAACGTTATATGCGTTATTTGGGGAAAGAATCTATCAAATAAATTCGCTAAAAGTCAATCTAATTCGCCAGATGAGTCTTTCCGATCTCATCGATATATTCAGTCTTCATCAATTTATCAATCTACCGTGTATCAACCCACACACCACAGTTTCACGCAGATTCGTTAGAATTAATTAAAATACTAGTCGTCTCGTGCTGCGTGCACGCGCGCGCGCGCGCTAGCGAAGCAAGGGGGAGTCGAGTCAGAGAAAAATACAACTGCCACTTCTCTCTTTTCTCTCTCCTTTGTTCTCTTCCCTTCTTTTAGGACTAAATGAAACTTTCTTAGGTATGTAACGAAACGGTGTCGGTCATTCGAATGCGCGTTTCTATAAAAAATAAATTAAAAGATATTCATAGGAATCTATTTCGAATTTCCAAGATTAGATTAAAATTTTTGCTTTCTTCTATTCGTTTCTGATGTTAATACTTAATAATATATATGTAGAAAATATGAAAAAAAGATTTAATACTTTAATAAATCTAAAATAATTCTTGATTTCTATTTTGCAAAATAAATTTCTATGAATCTCTTTCGATATTCCTTTTTTTTTTTACATAGTTTAGGGAGATGCAGCACCGATCGACATTTTTTATGTTTTGTCGGTGAATGCAAGAGCGTAAGAGCTTTCGGAAACAAATACGTTTTCTCAATGATACATCTTACAATTAACGAAATTATTATTGCTACTAAATCGATCATCGATCGTACATATTATTGCTCTTGGGAGCTTGAACAATAATGTAGAAAATCCGTGACTCCTTCAATCCAAGTTGAGCCAATGTTAGCTATGGAGCAAATTCTTTAATGTTTGTTATCTGAGTCCCATCGTTTTTCCGAGATCTCTAAGCCATTGATACGATCGTTACGCGCCGAGCAATGAACACTGACTGTGGTACATATACAAGTGGCTTTCAGGAAATCAGGAAACCGTATCGTTTCGCGACATTTCGTTGATTCGTGTTATTTCGCATATTTATTGGGCTAATTGTTAGCTGCCTGTTTCTTGTCTCACATTATAATATCCAGCGACTGAAGCTTAGGATTAAAGAATCGCTGAACGTCGCCGCGCATTTTCCATCGTTACTACGATTCTTATGTCAAATAAATGACGCTAGGAGGACATTTAACATTAAATGCAGCACTATGCGCGCGAAATTACGTAGATGAGACGCCCGTGAAGCAATTAGAGTTTCAATGCTTACGAGTTCCAACGGATTTTTCCTCCCACCCTCCCCTTTGCAATATTTTGCCCATAGATGCATATACATCATATATAGTACGTCCTTACGCAGCTATGCGGCTAATTGATATTCGTAGGTACGCGGGTAATTATCTGCTTACAAGATTTATGTACAAGTTATCACGATTTCAGGTAGCCGAGAGAATCAGTGGCGACGATGTGAAGCATCGCTTTATACTGCGCGGTAACGATATTCAGCGCCTGTTTACATTCGACATAATGTAACACATGTACACACATACACACACATACATACATACGCTCCATATATCTCTGCCTCTTGCCGTTTCTCCAAATAATTATCGTAAATTGGCCTAATTTTTATCATTTCTTAATTTTTTTTCACTACGCTCACCAATAAAGAAATTTATTTATTAACGCGAACAACAATTAAGCGGAACAACGCAGATTGTCTCCGCAGGGTTAGTAATTTTCTTCTCTTGACAAGGCAAAATCGATCGGGAGACGGCACAAAAAGCACCTGTTACGTACAAGACGCGCGCCGTCTGCCATCAGGAAAAGAATAGAACGCGCTACGTTCTTGCCGCCGAACACATAGAGACACAATCTACAATTATCCTACTAATCATTAATAGTTAAATATCACAATCTATGATAAGAAGTCCGCTTATATGCGTCTTGCCGCTAATCGCTAGCTACCCGCGCGTTCTTCAACCGTCGGAAAATTGCAGTGCGCAGAGATGCAAATCAACGTACAAAAATAAATAATCGTCTTGGATGAATACAGCGGGATCGTGTAGCTCACTAATCTGTCTGTGTTTTGAGTCCGCATGCAAACCTACGTTATATATGCCTACGATTTATTCGGAGCGATCGATCAATCGTCTTATAAACGAAGCGCTAAAAATAAAACAGGTCTGACAATGAGTCGTAAAACAGAAATTTTCGCGAAAAGAAATTTTCAAAAATGTTATCTATATAATATACATTAATTCGTTTGTGCTATACGTTGAGTACGCGTCATAATCCAATAATTATATACTAATTAAACAGTAATTCAATTACACTACAATATTTAAATATATATATATATATAAAATTTTGTTTATTTCATATTTTCTCATCAGGGATAAGGATGAATTAAGACATATAACACTTTATCAGCGCTATAATGCGATAATCGATCGTACCATACAGTCGTTCGCGTAGATTTACGCGGACTTTTACTGATAAGCGGAGATGAATACAAATTCGCTATTATTAAAAGGCAAACAAATGAAATAAATTTATTATGTCCTTACGAAAGCCATTCTTCTATGTAAAGATAAATTGTCATTTCTGATATTTACCGTAAATGTCAATTCAAAATCAAAACTGAAAATTTTAATTTTCATCCACTGGCCTCTTCAATTTTATATGTCGAAATGTAATTCAATCGAAAGAAATTCTATTTGTCCCTGTTATGTTTTGTATTTACATTATAAATTGATATCGTTTCGCTGTATATTCAAAGTAACGTAGAATGAAAGTTGAATCAAGTTGAAAAATAAATCAGTCAGGGCTATTTATAACGATTTCAATTACATTCTTATGGCAAAAACGGTAAAAACGAAAGAAGTGGATATAACATTAAATAATGGCGCTTCGTATTCTCGGAGTATATATGCAAAAGGGATAAGAGATCGTGATCAATAAAAAATATATATGTATATATATATGTATATACAATGTATGTACAATCTGTTCATATCATGGAGAAATAAGTCAATGTTTTTTTTCTATGCAAAGACTATGTGTTTATAGAGTATACTAAACGTCTTTCTATGTACAATATGGGATAATAATCTGCACTCTATTTACAAAATTTATGCACAATTCAATAAAAAATGCACGACATTCTGTACTGTGAAAACAATTGCGTACGTTTAACTTTATCATTCGGTAAAATTCACGTTACCATTCGATGTGCAATTATCAATTTTTCATTCAATAAAGTTTTTAGAATTTGGCAATAATTTATAAGAAAGTAATACATATAAATTTCAAAATGTAAAAATTATAGAGAATAAATACTGCATAAATCATGATATTTTTCTTGTTCTCAAAAGAACATTTTGAATCTTTAAGAAGCCCAGCATAATAAGTTTTAGATTAAAAATAATTTGTTTTATCGAGGTTTAAACAATTTTAATTCCGGCTATGACCGATATTCATATATATAGTCGATTTTTATATTTAAGAAAATCTTAAGATATCATGAGCCAATAATAAAGCCGTATTAGCATATAAAGACATTACGTAAGACGATTTCGGAATAAAAACCGACGATGAATACCGGCCTATGATTATGAAATATCACAAAATAATCGAGATAATTAAATATATACGACATATGATAATCTTTTTAGTAGAAAGATCTAATGATGAAGATTTTACAATTAAATGGCAATGTTGCTCGATATGTAACAGAAATATTCTTGATAAAGGCAAAATATAATTTCAAAAAACAAATTCTTACCTTGATAAGCGCTTCGAAATCATCTAATAAAAAATTTGTCTCCGTAATCATCGCGAGAGAGTCGTGACACGTGTTGAAAGAAAACAGGAGTGAAGGAATGTTCTGCGGCATCACGAGCTGTACAATAACTCACTCAATGATACACCGTGAGGATTCTGTGCAGAAATTTTATGGTATTGCAATGTTGTTCATTGCGCATTCATTCATTCACTGTTATCGAGATATGCTCTCAATCCTTTTCGTATCTGTTTATCTTAATCTCTTTGTATCTATTCTACGTTATAAATTCAGTAAATAAACGGAAGTGGGACATCTTTCTCTCTCTCTCTCTTTCTCTTTCGACTCGTTCCTTCTTTTTGTGAAGTTCCACGAGTTCAGGTACACGTCCAGATACGCGATCATCATAGGCCGTCGATCGAAAATTCTTCCTCGATGATCCACGGCAATCAGCGTACTCGTGATCTGAGTCTGAAAGCTTCGTTGCGCGATACTAATAGAATGAAAAATCACATCGCGCATTAAAGATTTCGCCTTCGACGGGAGTGCCGTCCAGGGCGATCTGTGATACATCGCAATTGATTTCGTTGTTGCGAAGTAATCACATTGTAATGATAGCAAAAATAAGAGTCTTCCCCCCTCGACGGGCTGTAGACGCAACATCGACTGTGGCGGCGATGACTAGGATGATAACGTGGGCGACGGTAAAGAAAAAGAGGGTCTCATGAAGATAAGGAGGTAGACAAACGACGCCCGCAGCACACGGTCCTCAGCCCGGAGTGGGTGGGGTCTTGTGTCAGTGAATATTGAAGTTGTATTGTTTGCGGCTGGATGAGATGCGGAGCCATCGGCTGACCGCCAATGGCTCCGGATGACAATTTGACCAGGAGATGTCGCTGAAGTGGGGATAGGGCGACGTAGTCGTTGCTTCGACTTGGATCGACGCAGACGTTGAAAAATCCTGCGACGATTGACACGACAGTTGCTCATGCTGCGACTTGTGCCTCTTCTGTTGTCGCGATCCCGAGCTCGCGTGGTTCAGTCTCTTACCGTTGATTTGACTGGCATGCTGCTGTTCCAGCTGTTCCACCGGCTCGAACAAATTCAGACTCGGCATGGAAGCCTGCATCTGCTGGTAGCTCCTCACCGAGATCGGCGACTGTGACGAATGACTATTTGGCCGTGATTGTATTTGCATCACTAGCTGTGATTTGGTATCTTTGGTAGTGTAAACGGGCGAGTACATGGACATGGTCTCGGTATCGATGTCCACCGGAGTTTCGCCTTCGAGCACTGCGGCGACCACCGTGGGTGGTTGTACGCAAGTGGTTGGCAGTGGTGCCGGTACGACTGGCATTGTGGGTGTCGTGGTAGTGCTTGGTATCAAGGTGGCTACTCCTGACTCTTCGCTGCTGGCACCCGGTAATGGGGACAATGACGGTAGCATCACGGATATTGGTGCCATCATCGAATTTGATTGTTGTTGTGACGAACCGTTGCTGCTATTGCTACTACTGCTGCCAGCGACGGTAGAATTGACCACCAGTGTGGACTCGAGATTCCGCAACTCCTCCGAATTGACGAAGTCCTCCTCGAGTTTAGTCTAAAAAAAAGAAGCATTGGCAATATGTAGAATAAGAACCGTAGGTCTCATAAGAGGAGGTTGGCGTTTAAGTGCCTAAAAGAAACCATGCCTTACAGGTTTAGTGGAGCCATGCGGGGCCAGACACCGATAAAGCAAATCAACAGCCTGCAATAACAAAAACAGAAAACAAGTATCAACCGACACCCTCTGCGTTCGTCTTAGCGCGCGCGCTAGCTTCTGGTTGTGTCTCGACTGGGTCGATCGATCCATGTTTGTCAGCAGAATCGCATAATTCTATATCTCTTTTTTGTTTCTACCTTGATTACAAAATATTTTTTGCTTTGAAAGAAATTTACGATGATTAATGAATATTTATCTTTTTATTAAACAGCAAAAGTTTAAAAAAAAAATTATGCTTGTAGCAAATTAAAGATATGAAATTTATTTTAATATATCTATGTCTATATACTTTTAAAACTGTTTTGTTTTTATTATCTATTCAAAATAAATTTTATAATCAAAAAACATTTATAGCACCAAAACATACGTATTTAGATAAACTCTTAGTAAACATTAAAGATAAAAATTAAATACAATATTAAAATCATATAACGTAAATTTAAGAATATGATATTTAATATGAAATGTCGAGTTTATTTCTGTGAAAGGCATGTAGAAAATTACGAAATTCTTTTGATATTATTTAACTACAGACATGACTGGATTTCAATTTCCTGGGAACTAGTAGAATTTCTAGGATTCTTAGGACAATTTAGATTATTTAACTTTATCGAACTTTGAAAAACAAGCTTGAAACAAATTTATCTTGACATTTCCAGAAAGAGATATTTCTACTTCATCCTTTTTGAGCCAGCTTTTCAATATCTAATACTATAATAGTACGCAGAAATGAAAGTTCTTTTTAAAGCATAATAAAAAAAGAAAGAGGAACAACATCATGCACAATATTTCAAACTTATCGAAACGTACAATAAAATTTCGAACAAAAAGTAAGAAAGCCACATATTTATCTTTCATATTTTTCTGAGACGCAGAGTTTCGAAAAAAAATATGTGTACACAAAAGAACAGTATTCGTACAATTTTTATTTTAATTACACACAATCAAACTGAAACTTTCATTTCACCATTGCGCCAGCAATCTTTTTGGCATAGATTGCTCGCGCAAAAGAGCCTAATCGTAATAGTAATAATAGCGTGGCAAATGAAGAAGATTCACACAGAGGACAGTACAGAACAGGAGAATCAGGGTTGGAGGGGGGGGGGGGGAGGAAAGGACAGGAAGTAGATGTATGTATATGTGAAAAAAAATCTTACATTAGATATAAAATTGCGAATACGAAGAAAGCAATGATTGCTTACCTTTGGCAGTGGATACGTGTCCGGTAACGATAGTACAGGCGGTGAGCTCGGCGTTTCCGAGTCGGCGATGGATATTGGAGTGTTCGGGGCAAGGGGATTATTTAGGTTGGATACGACGGCGGCGGCGGCGGCGGCGGCGGCGGTAACGGCCGAGGACACGGTGACGGTGCCGGAGACCGTCACCTTCGTCGTCTGTCGGTTACCGCCGCTATTCGGCTGCTCCTTCGCGGCACGATGTTCCGCGAGGAGCTTGTCGAAGGTCTTGCTGCGACCGACGACCGTTCGGCGTAGCGAGACAGTGTGCGCTTTGCATGTGAGCGACCTGGTGCAGGGCTTGCCGGTCTCCTCGATCCACACGCCACAGTGCCGGTCGGGATCGTATTCGCGGTCTTTGAGCAACGAGCGATCCGTTTTGAGCCTCTTCCGACGAGGCTGGTTGCTGCTACTGTTACTGCTGGGACCAGGGCTTTTGCTCGGACTCCCTCCACTGCTTGTCGACGCATTGGCAATATTCGAAGAACCGGTCACGTTAGGAGAGGTAGTTTGTACCGTGATCGATTCGAGAGGCGATCGGGGCGACGAGGAGATCGGCAACGAGGCACCTACAGCCAAGTTTGCCTGATCCGCAGTACGCTTAACGGTCGTGTGGTTCAGCTTCGCGCCACCAACAATAGAAATCGAAGTAGAAACTGAAGAAGGGGCCGGTGGTTGAGTGCTTCTCTTTAACTTGGAGACCTTGCAGAAGGGAGTTTTTATGGACGGTTTTGCAATTGGAGTCGCGGGAGGCGGGAAATTTGCCATGCCGGTAGAATGGCGACACTCTGTGGCAAAATAGAAGATGTGTTTACAAGTTTAATACCTGCAATATACGTATACAAATTGCTAATGAATTGCGAATATTTTGAATAATTTGACTAAATGAATCTCATAGCTGTGAATGGAATCATTGTATCTTTTATGATATAACATATTTTTTTCACGTTCAAATTTAGAAACTTAGACTTAATATTATAGAAAAATTTAAAATATATAAAATTTTTGTATTTTGAATTATAATTAACTAAATAATAAAACTAAAAATCAAGTTATTCTATCTCTACATTTGATAAATTAGAAATTAATCAAAATTGATGACTACATCTATAATTATTAGTAAATCTACATTTCTGTGTAAGTTCATACTGACACAATTATGTTAAATATAAAGCAATTTGATCATATATCGTTACATTTATGTACTCATTAATAAAATATGTACCTATATGTTGAATGAGAGCTTGCGGTTTTACTATGGCATCGCATATTTCACATACTACTCCATAGAAATCATCTCTCTCTGGACAAAAGCCATACAAATCGATATCTGAAAAATGTTTCATTAAATTAATACTATTCTAAATGTGTGAGTGAGTGAGTGAGTGAGTGAGTGAGTGAGTGAGTGAGTGTGAGAGAGAGAGAGAGAAGCAAGATAAGAATCTACATACGTATTATTATTATTTAATATATATTAAAGTAGTAATTACCATCTGAAGAAAGACGTGTGACTGAGCTTGATGACTGTACTTCTGTTTCTTCATCACCTGAAACACGCAACATATGCTCATAACAGAATCAAATATTAATTTTTACTTACTAAAGAAAAAAATGATTTTTATTTTATATATTATTTCATAAAATAAAATATTTTAACCATGCCTACATATATTAATTTCTCAATAAATCATGAATTTACTAAAGATTTGTCAGAGATTTATACTTGGCAATATCATATGTTCAAAATATCATATTAAAAAATTTATTATATTCTACACTCAAACATATATTGTTAAAAGATAATATTTTATTCTTTAATTAATAAAAATATTGAAAATTTTTTAGCAAATAAACTTTTAAATATAAATATGAAATAAAGGACACAGAACTTTATAGACAAGTCAACTTTATTCTTTTTGTTTACATCTAGCATACATGCATAACAACAGCTGTTGTACACAATTTACGAGAGGAAATCTACGGGAAGAAAACTTTGCGTGATATTCTCGCTTTCTCTCTTTTTTTTTTGTTTAGTAACAATGCCTTATATTGTGGAAACATCAACAATAAAGTCTATCTGTCGATCGTTTTATTCTCGACCGATGATCGACAGCGTTCGCTCGCTCGAATTACATAATTGTCAGTCCTGAAAATCATTCGCGAAGCTTCATGTTGGCGACGGGGGCGCACGGGGAGCACGCGAGAAATTGCTATTTGTACCCCCGTGCCGTTGATAAATCGTATACAACACCCCCTTCGGCGGGTGGGCCGCGACGAGCCGCGAGGCGCGAGCGATCGGGCGTGCGCGCGGCGCGCGCGTGTCCGTCGCGCTACCGTCAACCGGACAAAGGAGGAGCGTCGAAGTGAGGTTAGGTTACACGCGCCTCCGACGCCCGTCGCCTTCGGCGGCCGCGGGCGTGCGGGTGCGGCGTCGCGCGATGGACAGATTGAGCGCACTTACTCAGCGGCTTGTCCCGTCCGATTCTTTCAATCCAGCTGGACCAGGGCTGGCCGTGAAAGAATGTTGGGCTGTCACTTCCCGACATTGCCAATGGCGCTCGCGTTCCGAGTGAAACACGGCGCGGTCCTCGCGTGTATATAGCGTGGTGAGATTGTTTTTTGGGGGCCGGGCCGCGTGGTGGACTGTCAGGTGCGGCGCGGTACTATACTCCACGCTATATCTACTCTCCCTCACCCCCGCGATCTCCGTCGCACCCGTCGCGTGTGTGTGTCGCGCCGCGGCCAGACGCATTTGCCTCCTCCTGCCTCCTCCACCTCTTGCTCTTAGCCACCAGTTTCTCCCCCCGCCCGCTTCCGTCCCCGTCGAGCTTCAGCACTAATTGTAAGTACGCGTAGCACCGCGCGACGAAATGCGTCTCTCAGACGTGAATCTCGAATAACATATCGCGCCTGACGCCGTTCCGCGACGCGTCGTCGCGCGACCAAGATGCTGAGTGCTCCGTCGTCGTCCTCGCGTTTCCGCGTGGCTCCGCGAACCTACCGAGAGTTACACCGAGTACACACGCACACAATCTCACGTACCGCACGCGCGCGCACGGCGGAACACTGCGGGTCTGCGGGACGGTATTGGCCGACGGTATCCTGACGTCACGGGCACGTCGTGAGCATGAACAACGTGCGCAGAACGGTGGCCAATCGCGACGAGTCGAGGCGCATACGGCGACTACGGCGTTGCGCTCAGCCGGCGCAGCTCACTGGCGTGCCGACCGTCCTACGCGGTGGCAGGTGGATTGTGTCGCGCTGCGCCGCGCCGCGCGTTGCTCCGGTGTCATTCACATATACATGACTTCATTGATAAATTTATATTGAATGCAAACTGGCCGATAGGTATCTCCCACCCAACTTTCTTTAGAAAACGCTTACTCATATTGTAAATCATGTTAGCTTTAATTAGTTGGATTAAATAAAGTATAGCTATCGAAAACTGTAACATAAGTCTCGCGTCTCTATGAAAAAGTCAATAACTTTTATCGCATTGTGTATAGAAAATTCGCTTATGATTCAACGAAAATTTTGCTTGTAGAGAGATTACAATAAAAATTATATCGCAGTGACGCATCGTTGAATTATTAAATATATTTATGTTTTTTCCAGTTTTGAAATAAATGTTTGCGATTATTTTCTGGAAATATTAAAATTTATTCAGTTATAGTTATATAATATATCGTCATTTCCATCTTTTCGTATAAAAATTCGACCACTAATTTTATTATAAAAACTTAAGCCATGTGACTTCTCACGATCATATGACATTTGTTTCGATTGCTTTCGAATTCTCTATTCTTGAGAAACCGAATATAATAATCCTGGTTGACGACTCTTCGAAACGTGAAATCGCATATTTCTCCAAAAGGACGGTTTTGACTAGAAATAACCGCTGTCGTCAACGGCCATAAATAATCAACGATCGCGCCCACCGCCAGAAACAAATGCTTAAATTTACAGTCTTATCGGTTGTCCGATTTACAATTCATCCGGTGCAGTCTTAACCCGCGAAGAACGATCTCGTGCTCGGTTGCGTTTGAGCTGGCTGGCCAGTGTTATTCACATCGCCACGATGGGCTTGGATCGCCTGCCAGTTGATGTACCAAAAGGGTTGCTTATCTCTCGGCCAGGTCTTGATCCTGTTCACCAGGTCAATGTCGCCGTGAGCGTCGACTGGTAAATCAGCTGGATTTATAGTTGTGTTCAGAGGCGATGCAGTTGCAAAGCTACCGCCTCCACTGTCTATTCGGTTTCCAAGCAGTGTACCATCGGCACCAGTTATCTGAGTTCCTTGAGCTCCTTGGTACGTTGGACTCCCTTGGTACATTGGAATTCCTTGAGCCCCTTGGCGCACTGGAATATCTTGAGCCCCTTGGCCCACTGCGATTCCCTGAGTCCCTTGGCCCATTGCGATTCCCTGAATCCCTTGGCCCACTGCGATTCCTTGAGTTCCTTGATTCGCTGGGATTATTTGGTCCCCTTGAGCTGTTTGACCTGTTTGAGTCGCTTGAGCTGCTTGCTCCGCTGCTATTCGCTCGTCGATATATTGAGGTAGAACCTGGGGCAGACGATTACCGGTACCAGCATGCCATGGCCGTTGCGACTGCACCACGTAAAACATGGTAGCGAAGAGTACAGTGTATTTCAACTATAATGAAGAATAATTTCAATTTAGATTTAGACTATTACGAAATCATCTGAATTTCGTATTTCTATTATTTGACAAATTTAAATTATTAGCAAAAGATTAACATTATTGGCTAAACATTGATACTAAAATAAAACTTATTAAAATACATAAAATGAAGATTTATATGAAATAATCAATACATAAATAGTGCGAATAAAAATAAATATAAATTATCAAATAATATCTTCCAATTTAATGTTAGTAATGAATGCTAATATAATATTCTTAATTGATTAAGAAACAATAAATTCTCTTTTTCCTTCTCTCTTTTTAAAAATAATTGCTTATAAAATATTTCAAATGTTCTAAAATTACAGATATTATTCTCTTAATGGAAATAATCATTACACAATACACGACATCACAAAGGTCTATTTACCATAATTGTCGAATATCTCGAAGCGTTTAATGAACTTGATAAACACGCAAAGATTTCACCAATGGTATCCAACGGGACTTAACGATCGTGCGATTCA